GTGATAAGCTTGAGTCGCGATGGCCCAGGGACAGTGAGTTATAAGACGCGGTTATCTTAAACACGAGTGCCCGGGTTCGGTCCCGATGTTCACCGAGAAAGTTCCTCGGGATTTTCCGGCATGATTTCCCCTATGACTCCTTGACCTCTCGACTAACCAAATCTCCTGATGCACGACACTCGCCATGACTTATTAGGGTCGACAGTTCTGTAAATGTTTATGAAAAATTGTTCTGATCAAATTCATCTGGTAAATTCGGTTCCACTCAACTTCAACTGTATAAATACTGTAAAATAAACAAATCAGGAATTACGGTATATAAAATACATCATGAATTACGGTATACATTCTACTGTAGCAAAAGGTATCACACCAAACAAAGGCAAATGCATTTGTTTTGATTTTACCTTGGCATTCCAGTGTAGATTTCCCAGCACAGTTTTACACTGATATTACATTCTAAAACTGGAAAAAATGGTGTAAAGTTAAGGTAACTACAAAATTTTATCAGGTATAAGATGTAAGTTAATATTGAGCAGGTATGTTTATCTGTTACGCTCTATTTTGTAAGAATTAACATCATCTGTTCTCGTGTTCACAAACTACTCATTAAAATACACGATACAACTTTCAACATGAATAATACATCTGGTTTCTATATTACATCACAGCTGTTTCACTGAAATAAATGAATATGGTATCAAATTTTCACGCGTGTTAAACAATTACCTAAACACGAACTGGTGCATATTTATATTAGAAGCCGTCTTTACCCTTTTTATATACCCCTGGGGAAATGTGGTCGTATATTGCCGTCGCCCCCGTCCGTCCGTCCGTCTGTCGGTCCGTCGGTCCGTCCATCCGTCGTCCACAATTTATTGTGAACACTCTACAGACTACATTTATTATCTGATTGTTTTGAAATTGATATATGTAGTTGATATTAGTGAGATTAACAAGCCTATTTCCGATAATTACTGGAGTTATGGCCCTTGTTTCACTTTGTTGCACCTTGTGAACGCTCTAACGACAAAAGTTATCAACCGATCTGTATAAAATTTGTTGGCATAATTTAAATTAGTAAAACAAAGACGCTTATTGAATTTCAGCAATTTCCGTTAATTGCATCTATTAAATTCCCCTAATTACCTACAAAAGAATAAATATGCGACAACCCCTGTCGACGGACCGGACGATTTAGTTGCTGTGGGCTTATGTTTTGTTGCCTGGCAACCTATCTTTAGCAATGTAATAAATTACCATAACCCATGCCTGACAACCTATCTTTAGCATTGTAATAAATTACCATAACCCATTACATTGAAAGTAATTAATTACCATTACCCATTACTTTATGACTATATAAATAAAAAAATAACATTTTCATAGAAATTAAAAAGACAACATTATTTTTCTGCCATGAAGTACCTACAAAATCAAACTCAAAATAATCCTTGATTCACTTAATAGATATTTGTTTATGAATTATTATTTCTAGCAATTATAACATCAAGGCAAATTTATAGTGACGGGCAGAGGTGACAAAAACTGACATTTTCACTGTATGACTTGAAAAATGAATCAAAACTATAGTTAATTAACTGTATTTTCTTTTAAGTAATTTTTTTAAATTTTTAATCAGTCCAAATAGTTTTTGTATAATATAATCTATAATAAATGGTAAATTATTCAGCATGACTTTAAAACAAAATATATATTAGTTTTAAGTAAGCATAAAATGATGAGATACTTGAAGGTCATTGTTTGGTTTGTCACTTGTTACCTTGAGATTAAGATTAAAGTGCAGTAAGACTATTTATTGTCTTTTAATCTAACTGACTGATTGATTGATTGATTGATTGATTGACTCAGTGATTGGCTGCAAATTAGTACTAATCTTTGATTATAATAATAATATACATCTTATCAGAAATCCACTTTTTAGGTTACATGTCTAAAAAAGGTTCCTACATAAAAAGTAATAAAAGAAACTGTTTAATGCCTTCTTATTTTTCTTCTAATTTAAAAATCTTTTTTTTTAGAATTATAATGAATTGGACTTGAGTCAGATTCACTTAATTACTTCTTTGGTGCTATAAAATTTGAGGCTTGTCATATTGGAAATATTTATATATGTCATAAAATGTAATTGAAAAGTAATTAAAATGTAATTGACCATTACATGATTTTTGGAATGTAATTAATTACATTTCCATTATTCATTACTTTTGAAATCTTCCATTACTCATTACATGGCCATTACTTAAAAAATGTAATGAAAACATTCCATTACCATTACCCATTACCATTACCCCAGCCCTACCGTGAAGTGTCAATCAGTCGGTACCTCATGATCGAGGCTATCTCATGGCGTCAGTTTTGGAACCATTGATCATAGAGTGCTATTTTGGAGGGAATTTGAAGACATTTATATCTTTCCGTGAATTTTATTACAAAAGACAAGTGCCTTATAAATTATATATGACGTCTTCGGTGAAAGAAAATGTTATGCACAGCTACCATTCTTTGGTTTGATTGACAGATAAGATACGGCTTTTTTCTAACTTCCTGTTTCACGTATATGCTTCGCATAATTTTTTTTTCACATTCTAGCCAACTAGACGTTTTTTACGGTGTCACGTTTATCGATAAACAGTCGATTTTAATGCGTCAATTCATTGTTCATATTTAAAGGCAAACAAATATTACAGGATGAATTTGTGACCTCACTAAATTTGACCACATAATGATGGAATTGGAAGTGCGTAATTATTACGGATGAAAACAGACGTGCGAGCGGGTCATGGGAAACAAACAATTATTTAACCGCAGACTTATTTCCTGAAGCTGATAAACGACTTCTTGCGACCTAATTCTGGCCTCTTTTAATCTTCAACTAAAAATTTCCAACGGGCAAAATTATAACATCCCCAAGTTTTATTTTACATGTAGGCTTATATTAAAGCTTGTACTTTGTGGAAATCAAAACTGGGCCAGTGTCTGACAGTAGACTACTAGCCCTGGGCTGGTGGATTCAAATTTGGTTTTAACGGCCCTGAACAGGGACTCCTGAAATCTGGTAAATAACTCCTGGAAACTCCTGGAATTTTAAGTGTTCTGAGTTGTGCACACCCTGTAAGGTCATGAGGCGAAGACGCCCTAGAGACTAAAGTTAATATCCGTTTGACTTTAAATTTATATACAGTGTTTAAGGCCATGAGACGAAGAAGCCTATTGATTTTCAGCGATTTCCGATAATTATTGCCAGAGTTATGGCCCTTGATCACTTCAAAAGATCTTGTGGACCCTCTAGAGGCTAAAGTTAATATCCGATTAACTTACTGCCAGAGTTATGGCCCTTGATCATTTTAAAAAATCTTGTGGGCGCTCTAGAGGCTAAAGTTAATATCCGATTGACTTTAGATTTATGAACAGTGTTTAAGGTCATGAGACGAAGAAGCCTATTGATTTTCAGCGATTTCCGATAATTACTGCCAGAGTTATGGCCCTTGATCACTTCAAAAGATCTTGTGGACCCCCCTAGAGGCTAAAGTTAATATCCGATTGACTTTAGATTTATAAACAGGGTTTAAGGTCATGAGGCGAAGAAGCCTATTGATTTTCAGCGATTTCCGATAATTACTGCCAGAGTTATGGCCCTTGATCACTTCAAAAAATCTTGGGGACGCTCTAGGGGCCAAAGTTAATATCCGATTCACTTTAAATTTATACACAGTGTTTAAGGTCATAAGACGAAGAAGCCTATTGATTTTCAGCGATTTCCGATAATTACTGCCAGAGTTATGGCCCTTGATCACTTCAAAAAACCTTGGGGACGCTCTAGGGGCCAAAGTTAATATCCGATTCACTTTAAATTTATACACAGTGTTTAAGGTCATAAGACGAAGAAGCCTATTGATTTTCAGCAATTTCAGATAATTACTGCCAGAATTATGGCACTTGATCACTTCAAAAAATCTTGTGGATGCTCTAGAGGCTAAAGTTAATATATGATTGACTTTAAATGTATCCACAGTGTTTGAGGTCATGAGACGAAGAATCCTATTGATTTTCAAAGATTTCCGATAATTACTGCCAAAGTTATGGCCCTTGATCACTTCAAAAAAATCTTGTGACGCTCTAGAGGCTAAAGTTATCATCCGATTGACTTCAGATTGATACACAGCGTTTAAGGTCTTGGGATGAACAAGTAAATTTTTATGACTTGAACAGCTAAATCCATGATATTAAAAGTTTTGTATACTAAGCGTTAGCATGGGGCTGAACTTTATAAAAACCAAACAAATTCTAATGGTTTTCTGATAATTACTTCATGAGTTGTTACTCTTAATCAGATTTTAGTGTATTATAAATGTTTCATTACTGAAAAAAGTTAAAATATGCGACAACACTTGTTGACTGCCCAGACGATTTAGCTGCTGTGGGCGTATGTTTCGTTGTCTGGCAACCCATCTTCCTACATTGCAGCCACTTGATAATAGGTGTGATCGAAGTTGCAAAATATGAAACGTAAATAGTGTGTGCCCAAAGAGTTTTCCTACCGAATGCCGATTGTATAATCTGATTAAAACATATTGTATCTTTCTAATTGCAATTATTGCCTGGTGATTGTGGTGCTGATCAACTAACCAGTAGGTCCCACTTTATTTGTTTCCCATGGTAAATGGTGCAGTACGGAGGGTCTGGCAAAGAAAAACCTCTAATTATACGAATATGCCTGGTGTAATACTTTTAGTAGAATTTTTGCTCGAGAAATAACATATTCGCATAATATGTGATATGTACTTAAAATACTTAAATCAACTTAGTCTGTAATTGACAGTTGACACATAAAAAAGAGCTATTTATCGAAAACATATGTCACTCATTTACCACCAGAATTACACGTGAGTGGAATTATTCTAATTGCATCATTTGATTTAAAGTAACCAATCATTTTGTTAATTACAAAAGTTCAGGGCCATGATCACGCGTTATTGTGCATGATATTCACTTATCTTTAAAAGAAACCGGGGAACCCTGTAAGTCAGACTTGCATTAGATTCCAGAGATCGAGGGTACATCTGAGTTCCTAGACAGCCGAGAGGCTGGATAGGGTAGAGAAATGATTTTAACTAGTATTGTTATCTATTATGCTTGTATACCTGTATTCAGCTATATATATATATAAAATGTAGAAGCAAACTGTCGCATTGTTATTCCTGGTAAGACAAACGTCTTAAGAAACTGAAAGAAGTAAATACACAACGAGAAGCAGAAGTAAAGACAGCTAGAGACAAATTCTAGACGATCACAAGGCTACAGAAATATGTAGTAAGAACAGATGCATGGGTCGTACGTACGGTTCCCTTAAATCTGCTCTCCACGTCAGACAGAAGACCCATGGTGCTACATATTCTATTTGGTTGCCGTGACAGTTTCGACCTTTAGGGTAAGCAGAAAATTTGGAAGAAGATTAGAAGAAAAGATAGTATGCATCACACGTTGGATGTGGGGAGTTCTCTCGTAATATTTTCCACATCTAACCAGTGACTGCATAGCACTGCATAGTCTTACATATTCGATTTGATGCCGTAACGCAGTTTCGAACTTTTGGGTAAGAAGTCACTTTAGAAGAAGAATACATGTTTGAAGACGTTAAGAAGAAAAAAAGATCTGTACAATCCAGCAACAGAAGACAAATTCTGGTGGAAAAAAAAGAAATCTGCTGGAGATATTCGAAAAATTGGGTAAATACATTTTGTTTGGTAAATTGGTAAATTAAATGTGTTAAATTTGTTTAAAGACCAAATAATATTAATTTAAAGTTAAAATCTGATTAGAAACTAAGTATTTAAAATTTAACTGTATAGAGAATAAATTAGAGTCATTCATAAGTTGAGATTGATAGGTTTATTAAACAAAATAATGTCACTGGCTATAGGTATCTATATTGCCAGGTTAACATGACCTGTAGTAAATTTGAGTAAAATTAAAAGTTAAAGAGAAAGTTTAGGGAGTAGGTTTTAAAAAAAATGTTTTGATATAACTAAGGAATAATAATAATAAGGAAACGGAATAGGGAATAAAATAAGGAATTAATGTTGTCTCCGGATCGCAGTGACAACGACGGCAGAGCTCAGGATGAAATTTGTGAGTGATTAACTCTAGTTTCCTAGTTGGCCGTGGTTTCTACTGTGATTCGTTAATTTGTGTTTTTTGTTGTTTCGTACACTATATAATTTTAGGGCCCTTAGTCCAGGCCTTAGAGTTGTTGTAATTTAACTTTTGATTAAAAAGTTAGGTTATGTTGAAAATCCCATATGGTTAATCTAGGGATGTTGGTTATAGTTTTCCTGGGGAAAAACTAAAATTAAAGGCTCGTTAAATTGTGAGATTATCACAAAGTCATCAATACGAGTTTAATAGGAGGTTAAGTTAAGAATCCGACACTTTTTAGAAAAGTGTAGGTATACGGTAGATTTTGTCCGTATATAATTTTATGTAATTAAATTTTTGCTTTAGAAACGTAATATTAACGTTTAATATATACTGCTAATTGCTTTAAGCTGTCGGCATGAGATGATTAGAATGTGTAATTTGACATTAGGTCAGATTATTATAAACAATAGGTTCTAACACTGTGTTAAATTTGATGTGTGTGTAAGTCACACTATGTGGGATATAGTAAATTATGTGTAATTAAAAGCTAGGTATATTCTGATTGTCATGATTATATGAATATGGACTGTGTTCTGATTGAATGGAGCGTACGGCCATTTTCTCTCAACATAGTTGTAGATAAATTAAATAAAATGGGCTTTAACGTCCTATGGTAGGATAAAATGGGATGTCATTCAGATAGTGGCCATATCTGTGTGTCATCCTGGCTAATGAAATAATAGAGGGAATGTTTATGTAATAGTGGATAGTGTTTATAAAAAAACGAAATACTAAATTGTAAATGATTAGGTCAAAAAGGTCACATTACTGACTGAGAAATAATAAAAAATAAAAATGGCTGACTTCTAAAACACAAACGGAAATTATAAAACATGAACGTAATTATAAAATTGTCCATTACTGATCGAGTTCAGGTCAAGAAGTCAAAGTTAGTTTGAAGTTTTATAATTAAAGGGACACATCAAAGTTTATTAATACTTAAATAAAGTTAATTTTAATTATGAGTAAGATTTACAAATAATTTTTCGAAATAATAATGTTAGATTAATATGAAAATAAAGTTTTAATAATTTAGGAATAGTTAGTTCTTGGTCTGATGGCAATGACATGTTTGATTGACGGATAAAATTGTACAAACCAATCATACTTAGAAGAAAAAAAGAAAGTTTCAACTTGATACTATGGTAGCTGAAACAGACCAATACACATCCAAGAAGAAGAAATGGTTTACCAGTTTACCAAATTGACATTTCCTGAGACAGAATTTAATGTGAAACCTGAACTTTATAAATATTACGTGATGTGTTATAGTGTTTTGAAATTAGGACACTTGAAGATTTAAAAAAGACAATTTGTGTTTTCTGTGTTTAGGCTTAGTGGATTTTCATAGGATTTTACAGTGATGAACTTTTTTTGGAGAACTTTTGCATGCAACTTTTAACTTTTGATTTTTGATTATTTGTGTTTTTATTTCATAGTTTTGTTATATAGTATAGTATCATTGATATTTGCCTGTTGCATGAATAATTATAGGGTTTAGCACATAGAAGTTTAAGAGTCTCCTACCTGTTCATTTAGCATAAATCTTGCAAGTGGGGGAGGTGATATATGTTGATTTTCTAGATTTCTGCTACATTTATGAATAGTTATATAATTCTATGGTTATTGTGAAGGATTCAAGGGATCTTTTACCCAATACCGAGCTAAAAGTCTTAAAGGAAGGGACGAATGTAATACTTTTAGTAGAATTTTTGCTCGAGAAATAACATATTCGCATAATATGTGATATGTACTTAAAATACTTAAATCAACTTAGTCTGTAATTGACAGTTGACACATAAAAAGAGTTATTTATCGAAAACATATGTCACTCATTTACCACCAGAATTACACGTGAGTGGAATTATTCTAATTGCATCATTTGATTTAAAGTAACCAATCATTTTGTTAATTACACAAGTTCAGGGCCATGATCACACGTTATTGTGCATGATATTCACTTACCTTTAAAAGAAACCGGGGAACCCTGTAAGTCAGACTTGCATTAGATTCCAGAGATCGAGGGTACATCTGAGTTCCTAGACAGCCGAGAGGCTGGATAGGGTAGAGAAATGATTTTAACTAGTATTGTTATCTATTATGCTTGTATACCTGTATTCAGCTATATATATATAAAATGTAGAAGCAAACTGTCGCATTGTTATTCCTGGTAAGACAAACGTCTTAAGAAACTGAAAGAAGTAAATACACAACGTGAAGCAGAAATAAAGACAGCTAGAGACAAATTCTAGACGATCACAAGGCTACAGAAATATGTAGTAAGAAAAGATGCATGGGTCGTACGTAGGATGTGGCGACCGGTTCCCTTAAATCTGCTCTCCACGTCAGACAGAAGACCCATGGTGCTACACTGGCGGATTTGGACAAAAAGCTGATTCGAATGACACGAAAACCGAGGTATCGTGTAAACCCTTGACAGTTGGAAATCGATATTATAACTAGATCTTAGTGTCGCTTTCAGGGCACAATTTCCCTCATAATACACTACATGGCGTATTCCTACTTTATTATCCCGAATGGGGCAGGAAAGTAGGATTTAAACCTCATTACATTTCATTATATTTCTTTGTAATTGTAGTTGAAGAGCCGCCATTTGAATGTCGGAATGTGGTCATCAAGAAAGACAAATGGGTTACTAGAGATTATAACGTTATGGATACCATGTTGGGGAGGTAAACAATATCACATATATAATAATGTTTATATATCGTTTATAGTGTCGTAAAAAATATCAACATATTATCAAGTACTCCTGTCTGTTCATAGCCAATCCGAAATTAAACACCCCCTCCCACAAAGTTGGAACTTTGGAGTTACAAAATGGGTTGTATTGTTTTTATACGCCCACATTGAAATGTGGTCGTATATTGTCGTCGTCCCTGTCCGTCCGTCCGTCCGTCGGAATTGTGGACAATCTGGGGTCTAAAGTTAATATCCGATTGCCTTTGAATTTATACACAGTGAGACGAAGAAGGCTTTGATTTTCAACGATTTCCGATAATTACTGCCTTGATCACTTTGAAAAAATCTTGTGGACGCTCTAGAGGCTAAAGTTAAATCCGATTTACTTTAAATCTATACACAGTGTTTAAGGACATGAGACGAAGAAGCCTATTGATTTTCAACGATTTTTGATAATTACTGCCAGATTTGTGGCCCTTGGACACCTAGAAAAATCTTGTGGACGCTCTTAAGGCTAAAGTTAATATCCGATTGACTTTAAATTTATATACACCGTGTTTAAGGTCATAAGACAAAGATGCCTATTGATTTTCAACGATTTTCGATAATTACTGCCAGAGTTATGGCCCTTGATCACTTTGAAAAATCTTGTTGACGTTCTAGAGGCTAACTAAAATTAATATCCGATTGACTTTAAATTTATGCACAGTGTTTAAAGTCATCAGACGAAGAAGCCTATTGATTTTCAACGATTTCTTATAATTATTGCCAGAGTTATGGCCCGTGATCACTTTGAAAAATCTTGTGGATGCTTAGTAGAGACCATAGTTATATCATCTGATTGATTTTATATTTATACACCGTGTTTATGCCTTTATGTAATCGTTTCGATTGACTTTGGATTGATATACAGAGGTTAAGGTCGTGAGACGAACAAGTATATTGATTTTCAATGATTTTTGATAACCCGAACAGCTCAATCCATGATATTACTTGTTTTGTATACTAAACGTTAATATGGACCAAACAAATTCAAATGATTTTCTGATATTACTTTATTAATTGTTACTCTTAATCAGATTTTATTGTATTATAAATGTTTCAACTCTTTAGTGTATTATAAATGTTTCATTACCGACAATAGTAAATATATGCGATAACTCTTGTTGACTGCCCGGACCATTTAGCTGGTGTGGGCGTATGTTTCGTTAGCTGACAACCTATCTTTCTTGGCTCTGTCCGATCTGTGAGATAACTTTCGTGTTTCTCATTTTATGAATTTGATTTTCTTCAGGGGTAAATTTGGTGAAGTCAAACAATGTAAAGAAAGAGAATCGGGAAGGATGTTAGCTGCTAAGTTTATTGATATGAATGGACCACAAGACAAGAAAGATATCTTAAATGAGGTAGAAATCATGAAAAGTCTTCAACACCCACGACTGCTTCAACTTTACGATGCTTATGAGAAGAAAAACAGTTTCTGTCTCGTATTAGAACTGTAAGTTGGCCTATACACACACTTCAATTTCTACATTCTGTTTTGGTTCAATTGTACTGTGCCAAGGATGACCCATGAGTGAAAATTTTCCCTACAGAAAGTTGAACTCCACACGGCGAATGTGCACGCTTCAGTGGCGTATCTCGAAGTGATTTCTGGCTAACTACGCAGTATGATAATACTCAGCGTTAGAATCCACGAGACTATAAATACCCATCGCACGTGCAATTCTCTACACATCTATCAACTATTACAGCCGTAAAAAATCTATTGTTGACGATTCTGAATAGCAGTAATATTTAGCTTTTTGGTTATTACAGCAGCTTTAGAAATTACGTTCGTTTTATTTTTTAAATTGCTTTATCATTAACTGTACCGTTAGTAGCGGCATCTTTTGGTTTAGTACAAATAATATCTCTGAAACACTTGCGTTAGGCAAGAACATGATACTAGCAGTAGTTTCTTTTTACTTTTACACGGTTCTTAAAACAATTGTTGAGTTGCCTAACGTGCGTGTTTCTAAATTTAATTTTTTGTTCCAGCTTTCTTGGGAATCACGTGGCTAAGTGGGTAAGACGCTGGCTCGCTAGCCTGGAGGTCGGGTGTTCGATCCCTGCATTGGCCGAGAAAGTTCATCCAGATTTTCCGGCGTGGTTTCCCCTTGTCAGTGATGCAGGACGGAGAGCCTGACAAGGACAGCAGCCTAGTCGTTCGGATGGGACAAAAAACCGAGGCCCCGTGTACAAATTGGCGTGCACGTAAAAGATCCCTACGCAGTTGGAATTCGATATAAGAGTAGGCCGTAGCGCCGCTGCCAGGGCAAAATTTCCCTCATAGCACACTGCGTATGGCGTATGCGCGTCTTCATTAGCCCAGTTTAGGAGCAAAACAGTAGGACGTTAAACACCATTTCATTTTCCAGTTTTCTGGTATGTTTCGTAAAAAAAGTAGTCTTGATTATCCCGACCTGTCAATCAGACGTAGAATGGTCGGTAGACTAATTTCAAAACAAGGACACGTAACCTATTTTTACTCAAAAGTGCCCGGATGTTATGGCCGACACCCGTAACCATCTTTCAGTGTATTATTTATGGATGGTTAAAATGGTCATAACTTACTAAGTACAACATGACCGTTTTTTTAGTGACTATAAATGTGCGAAACTGATTTAAGGCTTGGTGCATATATAAATATTGTGGTGTAATTGTCGAAATATTTGGAGATATTTATTTATGGTGGGTCACCCAACCAAAGGTAAAAACAACTCTATTTGTGCCTACAAATCAATGTACATAATGGAGTGAGTGGCATGTAAAATACGGCTATTCAAAGTCTATTGAAGGAACCTCTACAATGACTACCAGATCTTAAAACCGGGGGTTGCACTGAAATATACCAAATCAATCCCTGTAATAAAAATTACATCAATGAAATTAAAGATTCGGGAAACTGGAGGTTTAAAAGAAAGTATATATTTCCACTTTAAGGCAATATGGCGTCAACAACCTCTCCATTGTAGCACGTGCCAAGAATTGTGTTACTATAACAACATCCGTCCGACTGACGGGTTATTATTTTTGATAAGTTTGATCAAATATAAACGCTATGTTGTGAGGTTTCGGATGAAAAAAAATCAGATCGGTTTATGACTGAAACTACAAATATAGATGCATACAATTTGATGTAGGGTTATTTGAGTAAAAAAATTTTAAATTTGTAATCTTTTTTAATATGCAAACATTGAATGGTTCCGGAGATTTTAAAGAATTTTACAAATCTTGACTGCAACTTTATTCTTAGCGTGTAAAAACATTTATAATTTTTTTATCAACTGAATGAATTTTTCCAAATAATTTTAGGAGATTGCTTTACGTACATTTTTACGTGATGAAAGTAAACCTCATGATGTCTAAAGTACTTATATACGCGTGTCGATTATATTTATATAAGATATTTAACATTCTTTTAGAGGAAATACTGGTATGTGAAAGTTCTAAATTATCATTTGAAACAATTAAAAGAATTACGTCCTTGAAAAACTGTTAATTTATCAAAATATCATCTATAAAAGCCCGGATATTTCTTATATTCAATTACGGAAACTCTTCAGAAGTTTAAAGAAAAGAAGTAAATTGGCCCTCCTCAAGATGTCAAGATAAAAACATTGAAATGTATTAGATTAATTATTTCCGTTAGATAATAAAAATTGTTTTTTATACGTCCACATTCATAATGTATTATGTCTCTGTGTGTGTGTGTGTGTGTGTGTCTGTGGGTCGCCTACAGGGCGCAATTCTTACTCGATTTTCTTCAAACTTTGCATACTAATTATTCCTTATACCCTAAGGATGATCCCTATTGTTTTTGGTGCATGCGCGACCCCCTGGGGCAGAGCCACGCCCATTTTTTGTATTTGTTTGTTTGTCGTCTACAGACCGGATTTCTTAACATATCATTTTGAAACTTTGCATACCCTAATGTACATCGCTATCGTTTGAGGTGCATGTCCAACCCCCAAGGGCATAACCACGCCCATTTTCCTTTTGTGTTTCTGTGTGTCGCCTACAGGCCACAATTCTTAAGTGATCATCTTGAATCTTTCCATACTTATTTTTTATACCCTAAGGATGATCCCTATTGTTTTGGTGCATGCCCGATCCCCAGGGGCAGATTCACGCCCATTTCTTGTATTTGTTTTTGTCGTCTACAGACCGCATTTCTTAACGTATCATCTCGAAACTTTGCATACTTATTCTTTGTAACCTAAGGAACATTCCTATCGTTTGGGGTGCATGCCCAATCTCCCAATCTCCAGGGGAAGAGTCACTCCCATTTTCATTTTGTGTGTCTGTGTGTCGCCTACAGGCCACAATTCTTAATCGATCGTCTTGAAAAAATTTCATATGAATTCCTTATACCCTAAGGATGGCCCCTATTGTGTTTGGTGCATGCCCGGCCCCCAGTGGCAGAGCCACGCCCATTTCTTGTATTTATTTGTTTGTCATCTATAGACCGCATTTCTTAACGCACCATCTTGAAACTTTGCATACTTATTCCTTCTATCCTAAGGACAATCCCTATTGTTTGTGGTGAATGCCCAACCCCCAGGGACAGCCACGCCCTTTTCTTTTTGTGTGTCTGTATGTCATATACAGCCTGCAATGCTTCATCGATCGTCTTGAAAACCTTTTTTATACTTATTCCTTATACCCTAAGGCTGACCTCTATTATTTTTGGTGCATGTCCGACCCCCTGGGACAGAGCCGCGCCCAATGTTTGTGTGCCTTTTGTGTCGCCTACAGGCCACAATTCTTAACAGATCCTTTTGAAACTTTGCATACCTATTCCTTCTACCCTAAGGATGCCCCTGTTGTTTTTTGGTGATTGCCCAACCCCCATTGGCAGAGCCTTACCAATTTTTCTGTGTGTCTCTGTGAGTTGCCTCAGGCCACGATTCTTAATGGATTGTCTTTGAACTTGGGATATGTATTCCTTATAGCCTAAGGACGACAATGGCAGGTCCCGACCCCCAGGGACAGAGCCACGCCCAATTTTTGTGTTTATCATTTACAGGACGGAATTCTGAATGGATCAACTTGGTACTTGGCATATGTATTCCTTATAGCCTAAGGGCGTAAACTATTGATTTTGGTTAGTGCTCCGAACCCCCGGGGGAGAGCCACGCACACTTTTTGCCGTTAGCGCCCAATTCTGAATGGATTATCTTGGAACTAGGTATACTTATTCCTTATACCCTAAGGATGGTACCTATTTATATTGTTTCCATATCCACCCCGCAAGGGCAGAGCCACACCCATTTTTTGTATTTATCGTCTACAGGCTGCAATTCTGAATGGATCATCTTAGAACTTTGCATATTTATTCCTTATACCGTAAAGACAGCAACTATTTATTTTGATGCTTGCCCGGACCTCCTGGGGCAGTGTCACACCCACGTTTTTGTTAGTACTTTGTTGTAAATTTGGCAAAACAAACCAAACGCCTAGCCTTCTTTGCCTCTGATCATATTACAGCCATTTCATATTTCATTCTCTTCATTTTAAAAAGTACCATATCAATCAAAGCAAGAATGTGGGCGTATATGGCAGCGTTAGCGATGCTCTTGTTAAAAAAAAAAAACATACAATATCACGTTTCATAAGATCCAGAGGCCCTAAAAACCAAAATATATTGGGCCAGACATGTACATGTAATTGATTATAGACTAGTTGATCACTTAATTGATTTTGTGTCTCTGATGACATGTGTTTTTAATGAGAAAAATGTCCTGTCTATAATTACTCTTTACATTAGAATGCAATTTTGTATAAATATCATGTAAGAATCTGACAAATATATCCAAAATGATGATATTCCTGATTATTTTTGTTCATATGATTGGTTTTGAACTTGTTTCAGTAGAATTTTAAATATGCCATTTCCTTTTTTTTTTTACAGAATTGAAGGTGGTGAATTGTTTGAACGGGTTATAAATGATGATTTTATTCTCACAGAAAAAGCTTGTGTTATGTTCCTCAGACAAATATGTGAGGGTGCTGCCTTTATGCATTCGCAGAACATTCTACATTTAGATATGAAGGTTAGTTTATAATTAATATCATCCTGGCCTAGTATAGTTAAATGGATGGTCTGGTCGGAAGGTCAATTTGATTTTTTTTGGCGTGCAACCCATTTTTTGTCTGCATATTATGACGTATATGCATTACTCTTTATGTGTTCATATTGATCACAATAACGAAAAAAGTATTGTTTGGTTATCACCTGCATATAGGTAATATGGAGAACCGACGGAAATTAATTGTCTGGGTTTTTTTTTTAGAAAGGCTCAAATGTCTTACCCTGAACGAACAGACAACTGTTTTTAACCCTTTGCTATGGAATTTGATCTACATGGATTCTTGACCCAATCGTAACATTCTATGTACACTGTAAATGACAGTTTAAGTTTTATTGGCCATTTACTACAAATAAATCCAATGTTTTATGTTCCATTGGTCAGTATATTTGAGTGTTTACTTAACCCACGGGTCAACGTAATTTTACCATGTTTTTTCGCGTGATGAATATTTTTGGCGGGAAATGAATCTGGCAGACAGCAATAAGTCGGTGATTATTTTCATATAGATAGTAATTTATCGCAATCTACAGTTTCGTACATAAAAAAAACTTCAGACAGCCTTTCTTATTACCTGTGCTTTAAATAGACATCGCAGCTTTATATATACTTTGAAACTCAGTCTGCAGTTACAAGGCATCGCGGAGGAACTATAACTTTTCCGAACTAGCATAGTCTTCCGAAATCAGTGTTCAGTCCAAGTCGTTGCATCAATAACTAACCATAAATAATGACGAATATGGTATACGAAACAAGTTGCTTGAACATAATCCTCGGTTTGTGTGAAGATCAAATTAAATTCGTGTTGTACTTTTGTAAAAACAAAAATCCCATTTTAGTAGATGGCCTCGATTTTGCCTCTCGCTTTATGCACATTTTGTCATTGATTACCCTTTAGGATTTATTACCATAGTTTTTGTATTGTACCAACCTTTTTAAAAGACTGGATTAATGATTAGACGCATCATTTCGCAGACTCAAATACTATGGCGGGGTATCGGGTTCAAAATGCAATCTAGAGTAAAAAGCAGAAAGTCAACAGTAAAAAGTAGAAAATCTAAAGTAAACGGGAAAATTCTTATCTAAAAGGGTATTTTTATGGTGAAAACCTATAAATTTATGTACTTAGTCTGCAGAAACATCAAGCTTTTCAACTTTCATGGACATAATTTCTACTTTCTACTATCAACTTTTGACTTTCGACTTTCCGCTTTCTACTTTCTACTGTCAACATTTAACTCTCGACTTTCCACTTCAGATTTTCTACTCACGATTTTCTAACGCAGATATTCTCCAATACTATGGTGGCTGATAGTGGCCATGTAATTTTTCGCCATTTTCATAACCCGTCAACACGACATAACGACAGTATTACTTAGTGAGACCATACGTCAAAGTAGACTTGGATATTAGAGACTTTTGGCAAGCGTAAATTCCTGGTCCGCATCGCGTCTCCGTATGGATTTTGTGTGTGACGTCATCAATGTGTGTGTATTTCTCATACGTGATACGGCACACGGATGCGGCAGCACGTATCGAACAGCTTTCATACGGAAAGGGTCCGTATAACATCTTCGTCTTTTTATCGCCTTTTTTGCTACTTTTATACGCTAAATGTTGTTGCATAGCGTTTTTATGAATCTATGTGTATCCTAGAACACGAAGGTGTATATTTGATGTGATTTTAACCACGATAAAGACGGAAATTTAATCATTATTTTTGATAAGTTTTTCTCGGTATTTTCATATTTTTCCTGTTTGTCTGCATGCTGAATGATCTACGTGCTAAATTTAGGAAGGTGGGACCATGCAAATCTGTAACTGATGTGATTCTACCGTAAAGGGGTATAAACTTTCTGAAATGAGTGAAACCAAAAATTGCTGTCGAGTCTAGGCATTTGTGGCTAGGCACTTGACTAGCACTGATGGTGATTTTGGTAGATAACCGTCGTCATGTTGTAAGATAACTAAGCTAAGCTCAACTACTCATACGTACGCGGCACGAACGTCTGTCAAAACTCTAAAACTACACTGACGCAACGTATCACGTATACGATACGGATACGCGATACGGACATGAAAGATTCCGCTTGCCAAAAGTCTATAATATCCATGTCTACTTTGACGTATGCTCTCACTAATACTGTCGTTATGTCGTGTTGACGGGTTATGAAAATGGCGAAAAATTACATGGCCACTATCAGCCACCATAGTATTGGAGAAAATCTGCGTTAGAAAATCGTGAGTAGAAAATCTGAAGTTGAAAGTCGAGAGTTAAAGGTTGACAGTAGAAAGTAGAAAGCGGAAAGTCAAAAGTTGAGAGTAGAAAGTAGAAATTATGTCCACGAAAGTTGAAAAGCTTGATGTTTCTGCAGACTAAGTACATAAATTTATAGGATTTCACCATAAAAATACCCTTTTAGATAAGAATTTTCCCGTTTACTTTAGATTTTCTACTTTTTACTGTTCACTTTCTGCTTTTTACTCTAGATTGCATTTTGAACCCGATACCCCGCCATAATATACAAGTTTGTTAACGGCGCAAGTGATACACCATACATTCTATTACGTATTTTGATCAGCAGTGACCATTTACTTTACATATTATTAGACCAAATACAAGAATATACCAGACTTTGTAGCTCAACAAGAAAAATACGGTAGCTTATCCTTACCACTGCCAAATGATCGGGAATGATCAATAAATGTAGCATATATGACGATATCAACAGAATACTGACCGATTTTACGGAAGAAAGCAATAATTTACATAAACATGAAATATTTCACAAACCAAGAACAAAGTTAAGGAATACACATTTCAACACATTTGTATCAAATGGACTTAATTAGGATCGGTAAGTTGATTGAAAGAGAGGTAATTCACAGTTTATCTGTATGGTGATTTGGGACCAGGGTCATGAAATATACTAAAGGCGTTTGACCTTTATAATTATAATGAAAGGTAAATTGGGGTCAAAATCGCCCATAGTTGGTCAGTAGAGTTTACGTTTAATCCATTTAATCGTGGTTGAAAAAGGAGATTGTTGATATTTCGCTAATCTCCATATTTGAAGTGATTGATTGACCAACAAACTCATCACTTAAATCTCACCCCAAAAAAATCACGTGATTAGTCATCCATTCCAGTATTAACCAGGTTTGACCTAATTTAAAACATCATAATATATAATATATAATATATATAAATATAAAAGTTTTTGAAAAAAGAAATGAAATGAAATGAAATGGGGTTTAACGTCCTACTGTTTTGCTCCGAACTGGGCAAATGAAGGCGGGGATGCGCCATACAGTGTGCTATGAGGGACATTTTGCCCGGACAGCGGCACTACGGCCTACTCTTATATGAAATTCCAACTGGCAAGGGATCTTTTACGTGCAAGCCAATGTGTACATGGGACCTCGGTTTTTTGTCTCATCCGAATGACTGGACAGCTGTCTTTGTCAGGCCCTCCGTCCTGCATCACTGACAAGGGGGAACCACGCCGGAAAATCTGGGTGAACTTTCTCGACCAATGCAAGGATCGAACACCCGACCTCCAGGCTAGCGAGCCAGCGTCTACCCACTTAGCCACCGTGACCCCCTTTTGAAAAGAAATTGTGGACGATGGACTTCAGATAATCAACATTTTGGTAATAAGCGAAAGTGCTAGTAATCGACAAATAATGTAGTTCTTTTTTCAAACACTTTTATATTTTTGTGTATTTAATACCTAAGAGTAGTTATCTTTAACTTTTCATATATATAACCACAATTTTTAACTTTTAACGATTCATAAAAACTGATAAATTTATCACATTCCGCCAGATACTTTCGACCGTCATAGCGACGTCAAAAGTTACAAGAGATAGTAACTATTTTTAGAATTTTACATAGCTTTGCATTAAACATTTTTATAAAACGGAGTTCTTCAAGTTCCAGAAGTTTCATGTCAAAATTGTCCATTTTTATACGCCCACATGGACATGTGGTCGTATATTGCCGTCGCCCCCGTCCGTCCGTCCGTCGGTCGGTCCGTCCATCGTCCACAATTTCTTGTGAACGCTCTAACGCCAAAAGTTATCATCCAATTGTTTTAAAATTGATATATGTTGTTTACATTAGTGAGATGAAGAATCCTATTTAATTTCAGCAATTTCCGTTTATTACGTCTAGAGTTATGGCCATTGTTTCACTTTCTTAAACCTTGTGAACACCCCAACGCCAAAAGTTATCACACAATCTTTGTGAAATTTATATGCATTATTTAGATTAGTGCAACGGAGAAACCTATTGAATTTCAGCTATGTCCGTCTATTACGTCTAGAGTTATGGCACTTGTTTCACTTTATTGATCCTTGTGAACGCTCTAACGCCAAAAGTTATCACCCGATCTTTGTGAAAATCATGTGCATGATTTAAACTAGTGAAACGAAAAAGCCTGTTGAATTTCAGCAATTTACAATAATTACTTCTAGAGTTATTGCCCTTGTTTCACTTTGTTAAACCATGTTAATTCTCCATTCATGAAATTTATCATCCGATATTGAATTTCAGCAATTTCCGTCAATAATTTCTAGAGTTATGGCGATTGTGAACGCTTGAATGACAAAAGTGATCATGTGATCTGTATGAAAATTTATATGCATTATTTAAATTAGTAAAACGAAAAAAAGCCTGTTAAATTTCAACAATTTCTGTAGATTACTTCCAGAGTTGATACCCTTGTTTCAGTTTGTAGAACCTTGTAAAGCCTCAAACGACAAAATTTATAATCTGATCTGTATGGAACTGTCTTGTAAAGGCCCCCAATTACCTACAAAGGAATAAATATGCGACAACCCTTGTCGACCGCTTGGACGATTTAGCTGTGGGCGTATGTTTTGTTGCCTGGCAACCTATCTTTTTTCAAGGGACTGCTTTCAGACTTTTTGTATGGAGTACCATCATAAACATCATTTGG